TCTACTTTCTTTTACACAAAACACACACATGTGGGAGGTTAATTGATTCAGCACAGCTTGTCCAACCCAGCAATGAGCAGGTGGAAAAAGAACACTACCTTATTTTTTTTTACCAGATCATGAATGAAATTTACCAGAACTGATGTTTCACACTGTCTCCCATGGGGGCAAGGTGATGAACTAATCATGTTTTGATTTACTAGGTCACAGCAAATAATTAAGACACGTGTTACAGTCATCTGTGTGGTGTGATCCTATAACAAGTCAGAATGAATTTTCCATAAATTCAAGAAAAGGTCTTTAAAGCCCTAATTTAAAATCTACACCTGAGCTAATTAAGAACAGTACGGCTCAAATTAATGCATCCTTTTACATCTAAGGTGTTGATAATGTACAATCCTAAGTACAGGAGGAGAGGAAATCTTAATTTTTCTCCCGTACTTAGTTCTTCCAATATCTAAGGTGTTTGCTAAAAAAGGACACAGACACACTCTACAGGTTTGGGGATCACCATGACAAAGGAAAGCATGTGTGCTTACGTTGGGTACTGGTCATCTGACATCTCCCCATCAAAAAACAAGTTTCAAGTACCACAAAAAAAAAAGTTCTTAGCCGAAAGGAAGAAAAGTTCTTACCCAAAGTGGAGCTAACATTAGAAGAGCTGGACAAAGATGCTGAGAAAAATCTATCAGGAACTATAAATACATGGCTTACATGTGGATCTACCTACAAACAATATATTATAATATTTTCAATATCCAAAGTGTGATATCAGGACTTTATGTCCCTTCTTATGAGGCAGGCATGATTAGCCCTATTTAATAAACAGAAATTTTGATGTACAAACAAACAAGTAGGTTCTACAATGTAATTTTTCAAATCTTCACCAGAGGACATTTTTTTTCCCACTGCTTTTGGAGAGAGAGGAGGAGAGGGAGGAAGGGAAAGAAAGAAATATCGATTACTTGCCTCTCATATGAACCCAGACCAGATATCAGAAGCACATGGACTGGGGATTGAACCCTCAACATAGGTATGTGCCTTGACTTAAGACTCAAACCACAGCCCTTTGGTTACAGGATGACACTCTGACCACCGAGTCACACCAGCTGGAAAGTTCTACAATTTAAAAGTGACTTGAGTATCTAGTTTTTGTTTCTTTGTTTTTTTTAATGTGGCAAAAAAAAATCTAGGCCAAAGATGTTTCTAAAATCATTCTGTACAATTCTGAAAATGTCTGATTTAAAACTCTCAGATTTTCATCCTAGTTTTTATTTCAAATATTGTAAACACCTCTTCATACAATGAATATTCTTTAATTATTTGTACAGCTCATATTATTTGCAACTTAATTGATAAACTAGTTTACACCTACATTTTCATCAGTCTTTTCAATGTGTTCAAGAAATAAGTTTTGGAGTAGTTTTAATTTACTTATATTTGCATAAATGATTAGGAAAAGATGTATACTAATAGGGGATGAAGTAGGTTTGCTCTAAAATGTCACTTTTTTCTAATTATTCTAATGCACAGCTTGATGAAAATCTAAATACTTAACTTTAATTCAATTGCAGCTAAAACCAAAGAATATTTGTTGGTTTCAAATTTTTTTAAATGAAATTAAGAATTATTGTACAATAATCACATAATAATCATCCTAAGCTAAACATCATATTCATTATCAATAAATTCTTTTCAAACATATGTATATATTTCTAAATAACATAAAGGGGATAATTATATCATGTCAATCACAAAAAAATGTGGCAAAATTAATTCAAATAAAAATAACATATAACAATTATGATTCATGATTTAATAACATCCAAACAAGAACTACAAAATATTTTTATATTTTTATAAAAGCATACAAATTTCAAAAGATCAATATTATTTATCTCAGTAATCTGATTCCAATTTTGCAGAAACCAAGCAACAAATACTTTTAATTATTGCATGATCAAAACTATTTTTTCAATCCTTTTTGGTTTTATGAAAAAACACTTTTAAATAAATAATTTGGGAATTTTATTTCATATTTTTTCTTTTTTGTATAATAGATGGGACAAATGTTTAAATATTATGAGACTTATAAATTACTTTTAATGTAAAATAATAATAAATAGAAGTAATTAATTTGTAATCATATAGAAGACTTGAGAAATTTGTAAAATACTAAACAACCTGAAAAGTAATACTCAGTTTTCATCAGTATTTACTATTTACCTTCCTTTAATTTACCTCAGATAAATTATTATGTAAATTACTATTAACATAATAAACACTATACCTAATAGCAGATAGACAAACTGATAGTAATGTGCTCTGATAAAATACAAATTGAAGTATTTTAAAAGTATTACCCATTCTATGATTTTGAATTTTTATGAAGTTAAAATATTTCCCTAAAACCCCCGGTAATAATTAAAGTCCATAAAACAGTGGAAGTTTTCACCTCCTGTGAGAACTGCCACACCACACTTAAAGCCACAGCTGCTATTTTACACAAAACTGCTGTAAAAATAGACTTGTTATTTGGACATGTGACTTGCTTTGAATAGCTTCAGTACTTATTGCTTTCAATGCCCCAATCAGCACATAATCCTTAACCTCCGCATTTTACAACTTGGTGATAAACACAGTAAAAAATGGCTTTTGTAGAAAATTCAGTGATCACCAAGGAAATGTATTTTTAACATAAATTTGCTAAACTTAATTAACACATTACCCAGTAGTCAAATCATATGCCTCAATTGAAAACGTTTGTATTTAGCTGACTTGCTAATATGGAAATAAAGATTCATTAGCAAACTATTACATCACAGTGTTAAGCATGTTTAATTCATCATCACAAGCCACTTTTTACCTGGTCAATTGCACGTGTGTAAAACTGAACTGTTACTTATCTGATAGTTGTATCATGTCAACATACCCCAATTTTCATTCAAATTATATTTAGTAATATAAGGAAACCAATAAAAGCTTGCCTTTCCCTGTTTTATAATGAATTCTGTCTTTCAGTAAGTGTTTAATTACTACTTTTTTAAAACTTTACTTTGTATCTATAAGAAAGTATTCATTTTAAAACCATTAGTTAGGCTAAAAATACTAAACTACATGATTGACATTCATTTTGTGACATTTTACTTCTATCTGTCTTTATCCTTGGCTTCAACACTGTTGCATACGATTAGTAAACTGGAATGTAACAAGATACTCATCTTCTTACTCTACAGCATGTGAAACTGAGATACAGCTCATTCTCTTGCCACTCTCTGCCTTTATACTCATTAACTTATTATCTGATATTAAGTATCATTTTCTGAAAACAAGGAAACCATTTTTGAAGATTATAACAAGTCAGAGTTGATTTGCTCTATTTTGTATGTATATGCCATCGGAAATACAAATTTCTCATTAAGGGTCAAAATCAATAGAACCATGCAAAGATCGAGTTAATGAGATTAATTAGCATTTGATGTTAGCTACGATAGCAAATATTTCAGTTGGTTATTAATTGAATGATCAAAATTCAAGAAAAAAATCGTTTTCTGTTTGTTATTTTACCAATATTGGATGGAAATTTTACATAATAGTGTATTAACTACTAATGTTAATAACTTGAATGTTCATATCAAGGGTTGGAGAAATAAGTGATCTAAATAGAGAAGAAAGTTTAATATCCAAAGTGCCCATGTTCTTTTTTCTCCCAGTGGAATGAAAGAACAGAATATACTTTAACTCAGAGTTACTTCCCTATTAGAGAGCATGAGAGACCAACAACTAAATACAAATATGTCAGCATTTTCCCTCAATATGCCAATCCACCAAAAACCCATAAGCAACTAGTTATCTTTAAAGTTTAGCAACTGGTACTGATTACTTGTCATGATGATAAAGCAGATTACTGCCACATACTTCACAATTAACCACTCGAAGTGTAAAAAGAAACTAAACTTTAAATAGAAGAACAAATATTTAATTGCCATTACTCTGTACTGTTGCTGTCCACAAATGGACAACCTAAGCACTTTTTATGTGGAAGGTACATAGTGTACATGGGTGATGATGTTCGGAATTAAGAATAGTAGTAATATTCCAAGGTGAGGCGCAGGAATAACTGAAAAAGTGTTAAATCAACATCATGAAGAAGGCTGTATTCTATTGTCCAAAGGGTGATTACAGAAACTGTTTTATTTATTAATAAACAAGGAATGCAACAGTATTCAATTTCATCAATGTTTCATGAAGGATGTTTTTCATTATTGCTCACTAAGGAAGAGTTACTTTGACCCATGTTAAGTCCTGAGCGGTGGCTGTGCACTAAGTAAGCAGAAAACATACCACACTGCATGGTGTTTCTGAGTCAACACCAGGGAAGCTTTCAACAGCGGACTGTTATCCCAGACTGTGGCACTGAATGGCCATGCTTGACTCTGCATGTACACCCCGCCACACCACCTTAGCAACAGGGAGGAAGAAACTGAGACTTTTAAGTTTCCACAGGGCAAAAAGCTGTTGCTAAGCAAAAACAACAACCCCAAATTTAGAAAACTGTAGCTTATTGTTTTTGATAACTAGTTCAACTACTTCACAAGTTTAGTGATTTCATTTGCCCAATTTAATATATATACACAAAGCAGATGAAAGGCAAAAACAAGTCTGTGAGGAACTTGTACCAAACCCCCACTTTCCACAAAGAAGCAGTCACCTTCTACCCAGCTCAAGACAAAAATCAACCTGAAGACCAATTGTGAGAGATTATCTTTTCTTCTCGACCTCTTAGCCTCCTTTTCTAGTTTATTTTATATTTCATGATGTCATTGACTGCGATCTTCAAAGGATACTTGCTCAAACCCCAAAGTCTCTAGAGCCGTGTAGTGTCAGCTCTGTAAAGACTTGGGAGCAAAACCAAGCCTATCCCCCACCTGCTTCCTGTGTCCCCACGAGGTCCAGTGTCTTACCAGCTTTCCTGTGACCTTTCTCTGGGGAGTACTTACCTGCTGCTCCCCGGGCTCCGTAGATTTCACCAGATGCTTATCCTTGTACAGAGACCAGAGGCCAATGTTGGGCAGGAATATTAAAGCCACCATGAATACCAAAGTCATCTGCAGAAATCTCTTCTGCTTCCTCTTCATTGCAAATTGTAACAGGTACGAAAAGTTACAGGAGATGGTTCCCTGACTGCTTCTCGCGTTTAATGCCAGAGTCCTTTCCTCTCCCCCGCGAAGCACCAGAGACTGAGGAGAAGCTAAAAACTTTTGTTGCGTGCTCAGCACCAATCTGCAGGATTCAGAGGGAGTTGAGCGTCTGCAGAACAAACACACAGTTACTTTCCCCCCAGAAAACTATGACGAAGGCAGTATCTATTGGCTTAGAAGTAAATGACTTGACTGAGGTAATCACTAAGCCTATTGACCTCCATTAATACAAAGCAGATGGAGTAAGTATCATTGTTTTATACACTAATCATAAGTTATAAAAAGTCAATGGCGTGCTAGATACTTAGGGAAACGGGATTTTGGGTACCCCCCCCCCACCCCCATTGCGGAGGGCTGGGTTGGGGAGGGGCGGGGAAGTAGCTAGAACTGCTGGGAGGAGAGCGCTCAGCCGCGGCAAGTGTAAGGCAGGAAAGTGCCTGCTTTTGACATTGGAGCATCACATCACCTTCCTTGTCTTCCCTAAACATCTCTTGCTACGTTCCTCTTGGGATAACCCACCTGAACTCAAGTTCAACTCCCTCCGAAGCCAGCGTTCAGGTGAGCGCAGTGGGGATGCAGGGATGAACTCCCCTTTGGTAGAGGTCCACCAACTCCTGGCTGCCCAGGCGCGGTCAGCACCGGTCCGCAGGCGGAGACTGGGCGGCCCGGGAACCTGGGAGAACGGAGGCTACAGATGTCAGCGGAGTGCGGCCGGGAGGTGGGAGCGCCGACGTTTCCCCTGCGCAGCCCTCGGAAAGTGATCCTCCTGGAAGTAGCCACTCTGCCCATCAATCTCTTCCCTTCCTCTGGGGACGCTCTCACGCTCCGCTGTTCATGTTACCATTATTTTCCGGCAACTGAATGAACCCAGAGAAACGTCAGGAACACCTAAAGGGCACTGTCTTCAATCTCCCCTCCGGGGAAGGAGTCGGAGGTGGCGAAACCGAGTCTCAGTGAGTGAGGGCGTTGGGGAGGGCGAGCAGACAGTAAGGATGCGCCAGGCTCGCCCCCAGCCGCTGCTCCTGGCTCGCTGGTGGTCTCCCGACTTCCCAGGAGACTGGGAGACTGTGCTGCTGTGGACCACGTGTGGGGAGCCCGAACCGGGAAGGGAGGGCAGCTGCCTGCAGGGTGGGCAGTTTCTCCCGGCTTCCAGATTCTATATAAACAAACCCAGGGCGAGGGAAAAGAAGAGGCAAAGACACAGCTGGAGAAGGACTTGGAGCTTTCAGCCTACGCGGATATTCTCTTTTTCTACCAGGCCTTTTCGGGGCAACTTCGGACCGGCGGAGATACCAGCTTCCCCGCTCATCTCACCCACAAGGCTCATCTCACCCACAAGGCGCTGGGCCAGATTCTGGAGGAAAAGTCACCAGCTGCTCGTGGGTTTGCTCCGGATTCCTCCTCGGTGCCCGAGGGAGCGCAGGGAGCTGGGGCGCGGCGGTGGGAGGTGGAGGCGAACCCAGCTGGGCAGGTCCCACGGAGAGGGGTTCCTGCGCCCCGCTGCTCAGGCCAGGTACGTGGTGAGAAAGGGTCGGAAAGAACCCCGAAAGGAGGCAAGGCTGAGGCTCAGGGTTCTCAGGCAGCAGCTTCTGAAGCGGCACCGTGGAGACCCAGGGCGGCTGTACTGGGGTCTGCAAACACCCAGGGCCCCAGTTAGGATTTGGCAGTGCCACCCCCACCTCCCCCCGCTCTGCTCATCTGCACCTCCCACTCCTTGTGAAAGGGCTACCTGTCCCCCTGACCTCACACACTCCTCCTACGATACCCGGAAAATGTGGGGATCAAGGTAAGTCTGGCAGAAGGGACTCATCCTTCTCCCCAGCGTAAAGATACACCAACACCCCTGACCGCACACCCACAAACCTGTGGCAGCCTCTCCAAGAGACTTGCGCGCCTAGCACAGTGCGCTGGGTCCTCTTGGGATCGGGAGCTCATAACTCCTGAAGGAATGGGGACTTTGATGAGGCGACAGATATGCATGCAGTGCCCGCTGTGTCAGCCTGTCTAGAACTAAAAAGAAACAACATGGTCATCTCTTTGTCACAACCCAGATGTGATGCTCGTGAGCTTGTGATAGATAAGACTGTGAGATCCAGAATGAACGGTATTTTCTCTCTTCATTCCTCCCTCCCTTTTCTTCGTGTGTCTCCCTCCCTCCATACCCGCTCCCCCTCCCTGTTCCTCTCACTTCTACTCTCTCCCTGTCTCACTTGAGGGAGACAGCGATTTGAGTGCGTTATGCCTTCACCTACTAATGCTGTAATTTGCAAATGTGCAATAATTGAACAATATGTATCGACAGTGTGACTGCATGAATAAAGCTTTGTGCAGAAAGATTTGTTATTGTGCATCACTTACGTTTCAAAAGAATACATAAACATATGTACTAAATGTTTTTGAATGTGCCCTTCAGGTAAAGACCAATTGCATTTGAATTGTACAAGTGCAAACTTCAGAATCTAGAGAGCACCACCGTCACAACACACACACACACATGCAAACACACAACCCTTTTTTTTTTTTTTTTGTACTCTGCATTATTTTCCCATCTCCTTTTTTTCTCTTAGCAAGTGCAGTTCGGAGACAGGAATATGAATCCTGGGAATCAATGTAACTGGGAGAGGTCTGTTGATAAGATTGTCTGGTTTTCAATCAAAGGTTTTTGGGGAATTGTTTAAATATATGGGATATGTTCTCTCTTACAGATAATGATTAACAATTGAAAAGCAAAGGAACTCAAAAGTGGTCTTGGAATTAAAAAGTTAAAAATCCCTCACATTTTAAATAATATCAGTTTCTTTAAATCTTAAAAAAAGGTCTTGGTTTAAAAAAAAAAAAAGACATATTATGATTCTTGCTAAATCCAGATTCTGACCTGAATTGTGCTTCATTACTGTTACAGAAGTAAATGTTCTTACATGTGATTCCCATTCCCAGAACATTACGTTACAGGCAATGGATATAACTATTATTTCTCACATCAAGTACATGCAGAATACATGGTCAACACTGGAAGGAGGAAAGTATTATGTTCACCTTTGCTTTTACAGTGTAGACAATTGTTTTGTGTGTTAAATTTATCTATTTGTTTCTTTGAGATCATCATTTTCCTTCAATCTGGTCTCCTACAATACTACAGGTAAACCTCCAACATATGACAATACTTCTAACTAAAACTGATATTTTAAGTTAAGTTTACACACAATAACAACAAAAAAAACCCGTTAATTCCATTGTTTGAAAATTTCAGATTGGATGCACACACGCACACACACTATCTCTTTCTTTAAAATGGTTTGATCAAAATCCTGTTTTTAAAATTCATCTTATATCCAGAGATGCCCTTTTATCCCCAACTGCTCCTTTACTTTGTTATAATTCAAAGGGAAACCTCAGGTAGTGAATCCCACGTGCCTAGCAATGTGTTAAGATCTCTACAGGGACACATGGAAAGAAAAAGAACGGTGTCTGTGACCTTGAATAACTTACAGCCCAGTTGAAAATCTAACATGAAGACAATTGGAATAAAGTGCACAAGCTTAGGTCTTTGTAGGAACCTTTAATTGAGCCATGATTAAGCCCTACCTTGAAAGAAGCAGAAAAATATCACTTCAGTTATGGCTCTACTACAAAATTTCATGACTTTAAATGACTATTTTACTCTTTGTCATGATTCTGTGCATTTGAATAGGATCTGCGGTTGGGGGAGGGGCCCTGCTTCATGTGATATAGGTTGGGACCTGTGGGTTGATCTGGCTGGGCCAAGGTGACTCCCTCCTGGACAGTAGTTGACACTGAATATCAGCCATTAAGTTCATCAGAGGCAGCTGGTTGCAGCCTCTCAGGTCTCTTCCAACAATTTGGTGTGGCCATGGCCCCTTCTACAGCCTGAGCTTCTCACCACATGGTGGTTAATGCCCAAAAGGGAGCTTCCCAAGGACCTGTGTTCCAGGAGGGAGAAAACAAAAACTGCCCTGTTCTTTTAAAGGCCTGTTACTGGTACAGCCTCACTTCTGCGATTGACACAGGACTAGCCCTGATTCAAGGCCAGAGGTCAAGGATAAAACTGACATCTCAGTGAGAGACTTGAGAAAGAATGTGTAGCCATTTTTAATCTACCATGGATATTCAAAGGCACATAGCTAGGAATCCACAATGAAAGCTTAACCAGTTAGACAGTGGATGATGGGGAGAGGTTTTCACAGATTATTCAATTACTACAAAGATAGTAAACTGAATTTGTTTTAGTTTAAAAATAGGCTTATTACCTCATTTTCAAGTTGTAAGCTAAAATAGTACTAGGGATGCGATGTACAATCTGATGACTATAGTTAATAACCCTGCTGTGTAATACACAGGGAAAGTCATTAGGAGCATGCATCCCAAGAGTTCTCATCATGAGGATAATTTTTCTTCTCTTTTTATTGTATGCATATGGGATGATGGGTATTAACTAAACCTGTTGTGGTCATCATTTTACAATATATGTAAATTAAACTACTGTGCGGCAAACGTGTACATGTGTCCAGAAATGAAGATACATTTCATTCTTCTTTTATCCAATAATAATGTCTAGAATATGAAAGTTTCCACTGAATAAACTACTAGACTTTTAATGTCTGTCTCTACAAAATAGGAAAAAAAGAGTCAACTTAAATATTAAAATGTAATATTATCCAGTCTGCATCATTGCTGAAATTCTTCACCAAAAACCCCTGAGGGAGCCTTGGCTGGTGTAGCTCAGTGGGTTGAGCGCAGGCCTGTGAAACAAAGGATTGCTGGTTTGATTCCTAGTCTAGGGCAAATGCCTGGGTTGCAGGACATTGTGGGTCGGGTCCCCAGTAGGGCCTGCCTGAGAGGCAACCACACATTGATGTTTCTCTCCCTCTCTTTCTCCTTCCCTTCCCCTCTGTCTAAGTATAAAGAAATAAAGTCTT